GTCAATCGCGTCATCTTCTCTGATGCTGCCACTCCAGTACGTGTCGCTAGCGTCGAAGTCTTCATCCGAGATGAACGACCCAGGCCCGACGAATCCCTCTCCAAGTGATCCGACGACACGGGCGAAGGTCAACGACCCCGTCCCATCAAAAGTGCCGGAGGAAACGTGGAGAGGGTCGTCGGTATTGAGCTTCAGAGAGCGTCGGTTGGCAGCTTGTAAGTCGAGCAAGAATCGCGAAACGAGAACGGCTGTAATTCTATTCTCGAAAGCCCATAAGCACACCTCTTCGGAACATGCGGATACGCGCTGACATACTCATCCTCAAATATCGCGATATTGCTGATCAAGTGGCCAAATGTCTGTATAGAAGTATTATCAGTACTGCTTCGGAGGCGATGGGCGAGACCCAGGTGTTTACCGCAGAGAGTGTGAAGGCAAGGTGAAGAACATTGAGAGTAAGTAGAACTCTGTTAGAATGTGCACGGTCAGTCAGGTATGCCCTTAAGTGCCAGACTCACGGGGCCGCACAGAAAGTATAGGATCCCTGCACGTCACAAATGTCTGAGAACCAGGCTGAGTCGTGCGAAAGGTCCGCGCACCGTCACGAAGCATGATGCTCGACAATGACCACCGGTCCTTCGGCCTAATGCTAGAGATGATGTCTCTTCTTCCCAGAGTTGTCCATGTCAAGATAAGAAGGGTAGTGTCCGTTGTGATAAGACATGTACGTGAGGCGATCACCACTGCCGAGACCGCAACGTCAGCACTTGTCGGTCTCACGGCTACGAGTTGCAACATTACATCTTGTTGTTATAGACTTTAGTAGAGCCCGATGGGGTCAATCGACAGTTCACTTACTTCCGCGCCAACGTGGGGGTCATGTTCGTGTCAGCACCGCATCCGAACGTGGGGTCGTTATCGCCCCTAAGGCCGAAACGGAACTGTGCCTGGAATTGGAACAGCGTCAGTAGTTCATACCTTGTTCTCGTTGCATATCACTCAGGACGTACATAGTTGATTCCTGCAGGGACAGTGGCGAGAAAGAAGACAAGAATGGCAAGTACTTTATTCCTGCCCAAAGCATAAGCCCGAAGCCCGGAGAAAGCTAATCACAATCATGAGCATCGACAAGGGTTCATATCGTATGGAGAACATACCGGCCCAGATTATGTATTGAAAATATGATATACCCGCGAATGCCTTGTAGAACGCGGGACAGCTACGCAGGAACAGTGCTCAGCCAATAGTGAGAGACACATTGATCTACCATTACTTACCTCTGCCTGAGATCAGTACACAACAGCTGCAGCCAGTCATCCGAATGCGACTCACCTTGTCAGAAAACTTTCCAAGTTGAGCCAAGCCCATCATATTCCAGACTAGAGTAACATATCGATTCACAAAGAACAGGGCATATGCACCCCTTAATCTCGCTGGCCGGAATGTGTTGACTTCGCGGCTGAACGTTACGACATAATCGTAAACCAAGAAGACTAAGTGAGATGCACACGGTTAGCATGGGTGGGGTGACAGTGCAGTTGTGCAACACCAACACGTACCCGAAGACGCGACGATGCAGAGATTTGCTTGATAGCTAGGACGTGCATTCAGCAATACTCGCAATTACTGCACCACGTGTTCGACAAGAAGCATACATACATTACCTCAAATACGGATATCAGCGCCGCCGCCTCAGCGGATTGGGACGACATGGCGGGCCCACCACGTAGAGGAACAGAGACAGTCCCTGCCCCACGTCTACGCGACCCTTGTAGGATTTGCTTTTAGCATCCAGCGGACTGCAACGGACTCAGAAGTGGATGACCGATATGCGGACTGCGCAGAGAGCTGGGAGCAACTAACTGTGACAAGGATAGTGCTCGGTCCCCGGCTTTCGCCTGCTGCCACCCGACAGCGCCCAACGGGCGCTGGCTCACAAAGATTGCGTTTTCCGGGGCCGCATCATCCTGCACATCGCTATGTAGAAACGTTGCGTTGATGGCATGAGACTCGATCCGACACGATCACACCGACATAATCGTCCAGTATAAGTGACTATCCTTTGTTCATGACCTAGCCCGATGTGAAATGGAATGGGCTTAGGATATGGTTATGGAGTGTCGATGTCAACGTAGGAGCTAGAAGCAGAAGATTAAGCACGAGCTAAGCTCATCAAGGAGGGCAACTGTGGCAGCTATCGGAGCGCTGATACGTACTCTATACTTATTTGTAAGTGATGGGCAGCTGCCTAGCGCGCTTGATACTTCCGCCTCATGCTAAAGCTACATAAGTAGTTGCAGTGCGGAGCATTGCGGTCACGTCGCGGCGACCGTGCGAGCCACCAGTGTCCTGATTTCCTCTTTCCCTTGCAGTAATAATAGGACCGCTCAATTCTTGAGGACGCAGGACGCAGGACGCGACCAGAGGCCGTTGATGGAGGTGATGGGCTAAGCGAGACTAGCCGACGAGCTCGCCTTCGAAACCCCTCGAGCGACGATAACACTCATCCCCCCTCACAAAGTGCCTCAAGGGTACTGTCAATCGACGCGGAAAGCCTTCGTCTTCAACATACTCGCGATTCATATTTTTCTGTTAGGTTTGGGACACGACAGACCCCTTGGAAAACAACGGGCACAAGAGATGAGGTTGGTACCTTGCCATATGCGGCAGGTTCGGCTAACCCATCACATCCATCAGTTGTGCTCTGATGTTTTGGACAATGATTATTGTCCAGGGTCTATGACAGCGTAACTCGTGCCACCCCCTCGCCGCTTTACATCTGCTTTGTCTCTAGTAGTATATAGGTTAAGGGCTCGCAGCCCAGGATCCTCGTCCCCTCGCCCTTCGGGAGCTCGCGCTCCTCGAGCTTTCGTTTTTGCACCCACCCTTCCGCTGCCCCATTTTTGGTCTCGCTTAGCTACGTCTCATGTATCAGGTACATTCGCCTTCCGCCGGCTTGAGCTCGGCCCACCGGTCGCGCGAGAGAGCGGTGGCGACACGGACTCGGTGGTCCCGCGCAGCTTCCGTAGCGCGCGCCCAATACCATCGTTTTCCGTCCTGCCCGAGTATAGCGTGCATAGAGTGCGTCCTGCGTCCTAGTCTCGTGACCAGACGTTCGGAGTGTGAAGCGGATACGAAAAATCGGAGGTATCCGGACACTCGAACGTCTGGTGGCATCACCCCCGTTACTCCCCCATCGGTGACATGCGTCACATCCCGACGCCCAGTCGGGGCAGTCCGAAAAAGTCGGAGTGCGCCCTTGGTGCCCGATGTGGCAGCCCGCTGTCAATGTTCACCCTGTGCTACACCTCCTGTATTAGCCACAATGCCCCCATAATCCATCATACCTGGCTGCTCTTAAATACACTACATGGCTATCTCAACTCCTGAGTTCCTCTCCCATCATGAAGAAGACCACGCCCACTCGTATGCAATCCTGCAAGCCGCGCGACAAGCCGCAAAAGCCTCACGGCGGTACGACTCGCATGCGACCCGCCAGGCGCTCGAAAACACCTTTCGCGACAGAATGGGAGGGAAGGCGCCACATGAGTGGCAGGTGGATGTTGCTGAGGCCCTGATGGT